GTCAAAGACATTTACTGAAGTCCAAGTAAACAATGTCTACTGCTCTGCCATAATCGATCCTCTTCGTTACTATTTCAGAAAACTCAAACTAGTTTGTGAGACACTATTTCCCTCGCACGAAACCATGCTATCCCTAATTGTTTCTTGCTTCTCCAAGTGCATATAAACACTATCTTTAAGAATCACCTACAACAACCTACCCACCACCAGAGTCAGACTCACAAGTCTATAGTTCCCAGGCCTCTCCTTACATTCCTTCTTAAACAAAGGCACAACATTAGCTACTCTCCAGTCATCTGGCACCTCACCTATAGTTATTGATGATACAAATATTTCTGCAAGTGGCCCTGCAATTTCCTCCTTAACTTCCCACAACCTGGGATACATTAGATGAAGTCCTGGATTTTTATATTTTCTAAGACCTCCAGCACTTCCTCTTCTGTAATGTGAATTGTTTTCAAAACATCAGTAATTATTTCCCTGAATTCTCTAGTCTCCATTTATTTCTCCACAGTAAAAACTGACACAAAATATTCATTAATATCTCTCCCATCTCCTGAGGTTCAACACAAAGTCAACCTGTTTGATCTTTAACGGGCTCTACTTTCGTGCACTCTTGCTGCTTGCTTGCTGTTAATGTATTCATATCATCTCTTTGCCTTTCTGATCTCCCACTTAAGAATGTCCCTTATACTGTTCAAGAGGTCCATTTGAACCCAGTTGTCGATATCTAATGTATGTTTCTTTCTTTTTATTCTTGACTAGAACCTCAAAATCTTTATTCATCCATTGTTTCCTAATCCTACCAGCCTTGCCTTTTTCACTCTTAACAGGAACGTGATGACTCTGAACTCTTGTTATCACACTTCTGAAAATCTCACTTATCAGACATCCCTTTACCTGCAAACAACCTAGTCCAATCAACTTTTGAAAGTTCTTTTGAAAACAAGGATAAGAAGTTTAAAATTGATCTCAATCTGGACTGGCAACATCTCAATGAACACGGTAATGGGTGTGCAGAACTCACTGCAGAACTTTAGATGAATTAAACATAACAGGGTGCAAGGTGGGAAGACAGCAAGCAAGGCATAATTGAGTCAATATGTCACGAAGACGCAGTTTTAGCAGCTGATGAGCTTAGGCACAGGTATGGATAGATAAAGTGGAACTTGGCAAAATAAAAACCATGCTCATGCCGTAATCCTCAGTAGATCTGGCAGCATCTATAGAGAGGAAAGCAGAGTTGATATTTAAATGTGGAAGTTAGTATTGGATGGTGAGAGACTGAACTTGCTGAACCGCAAAACACTGTGTGTATTCTGTCTTTTATCCACTTAATAATTATGGGGAAGCCTTTAATGGAAGTACTGGTGTACAGGTACATTATCAGAAAGCATTGTTAGTCTGTTATAATCTAGATTCCATTTATGATGACTACTGGCCTGTCTCTGTATATGTTTCTTGCTTTTTGTCATGTTGTTGAGTTTGCTTTTTCCTTCCAGATCACTGGAAGTGCAGTACAGACACGTGATGTTTTGAAGAATCATTTTAATGACTTGAAGGCCAAGTTGACCAAACTGCTGGATGAACGGTTAGTATTGCTGCTCCAGGAAGTGGATAAAATTGAGCAGGAGAGCATCAAGCCCCTCGACGACTGTCAGAAGTTAATCGAGCATGGTGTGAACACGGCTGATGAGCTACTCCGAGAAGGTAAAACTATTAGTGCCCAAATGCCTACCAAAACACCAGTGTCAGCCATGGCTCAGTGGGCACTGAAAATTTTATGATGAAGGGGAATGGAAATGGAAAGAAATTTTGAACTTAAAGGATTGTCTTGCAGTTGTTTCTTAACTGATGAGTCTTTTTACTGTTTTACAGGAGAGGTTGCTGTGTGCTGTGGAACAGCACAGGAGGAGAAACTTGGAAACTTCACTAAAAAAGCTTTGCAAATCCAACTTGACAGGTCAGTAGTTTTCCGTTTGAGTTATTTCTTTTTTTTTCTCTGTTATAAAAGTGAGTGCGGTATAAACAGACAAAATAACATAAATGTATAAATAATAGCATGATAATACTAGGGGATTTCAACTTCCCCAATATTAACCAGGATAGACAAGGGGTGAAAGACTTAGAGGGGTCCAAAGGTATGAGTGTTTTATAAGCCAGCATGTAGAAAGCTTTAAAAGAGAGAGGGCAGGGCTGGACCTTATTTTAGTGAACAAACTCAGATGAATGGTAGTTGTGACAGTGGGGGTACATTTTGGTGATGGTAACTGGAATTCAGTATAATTTGAAGTACCTACGGATAAGGACAAAAATGGACTGGAAATGAAGGTTTTGAATTGGGGGAAGGTCTATTTTAATATGATAAGACAGAATCTGACTAAAGTGGATTGAGAGCAGCTACTTGCAGGAAAATCCACATCCGAGCAGTGGGAGACATTCAAAAGGCTAATAATGAAAGTGCACAACGATAAAAGTGAAGGTTGGGATCAAAAGTGCAGAGGACTAAGATGTCAAGGGCTCAGTGACCAACACCACCTCCCCCCCAAAAAAAATTATTGTTTTTATTCATAGATGGGAGCAGTGTGTCATTTTTTTTGTTCAATCTCTTCGCTGCTCTAGCAAGCCTCTGTTAAGAGCTATCAAATTACTGGTGGGCCATGTGCATGCAAACTAAGAAAGATGTCATCTTTCCTTCCCTGAAAAGGAAGTTTATTGGAACCATAGAAATAATACAGCATAAAAGGTGGCCTTTTGGTCCATCTTGTCCATGCTGAACCAAAGGCACTCATATGCCCTTTCTAAACCCACCTTCCTGCATGTTTCCCAAAGCCCTGCAGTGTACAGTGCTTAAGGCACAGAACCAGGTACTTTGTGAAAGAGTTTAGGGTCTCTGTCTTGACCACCAACTCAGGCAGTAAATTCCAGACATCCAGCACCCTCTGTGTAAAACATTTTTTTCCTCACATCCGGTTCCCCCCGCCACTAATCCTTCTATCTCTGAGCTTGAATTTATGACCCCTGATTTTTGAACTGTCTGCCAAGGAAAACAGGTTCCTCCTGTCTGCTCGGTCTCTACCCCTCACAGTTTTGTATACCTCTCAATCATGTCGCACATCAACCTCCTCTGTTCCAAGGAAAAACAATTCTCCAGCCCTGGCAACATTTAAGTAAATCTTCTGTATCTGGAGCAGTTACCCTCTTCCTGTAATCTGGTGACCAGCACTGTACACAATGCGCCAGTTGTGGCTTCACCAATGTCTTATAGTTTCATCATTATGTCCCTACTTTTGCATTCTATACCTCTGCCAATGAAGGAGAGCATTCCATATGCTGTCTTTACAACCTTATCTACCTGTAGAGCTACCTTTAGGGACCTGTGCACTTGCTCATTAGGATATCTCATTTCATCTACCTCTCTCAGTATTTTCCCATTTATTACATATTCCCTTTTACTGTTTGACCTCTCTAAAATGCATTACCTCACACTTACCAGAATTAAACTCCATCTACCACTTTCCTGCCCACTCCATCAAGCCATCCATAACATTTTGGAGCTTCCAGCTATTCCCTATGCCAACTGGACTATGTACGTTATCTCCTCACTATCCAGTTACTAGTCTAGTAAACCTTCTTTGCTAATGCATTGGAAGTGGTTCATTCTTCTGTAACTACAGTGACCAGCACTCTACATGGCCAACTTTTGTGTTGTCTGCACATTTCCCAATTATGCCCCAATTATGACGTTCAAGTCCAACGTGTTAACATACAAAATAAATAGCAGGCATCCCAAACTAGCACTGCGGAACACCACTTGAAACATCTTTCCGTTCTAAAGGGCAGCTATCAACCATTATTCTTTGTTTCCTGTTATTAAGCAAACTTCGGATCCAATTCAACAGGTTACACTGTATCCCATGGGATCTTACTTTTTTGACCATTCTGCCATGTGGGATCTTGTCAAATGCCTTACTAACATCCATGTGGACAACATCCACTGAACTACCCTTATCGATCCTACTTGCCACTTCCTCAAAGAATTCAGTCAAATTTGTAAGGCATGACCCCTTAACAAAGCCAAGCTGACTAGTCCTAGCCTCTGTGTCAGTTTGTCTGATGTGTCAGGATTGATTCTAACAATTTCCCTACCACCAAAGTAAGACTAATTGGCCTATCGTTTGGCATTCCCTTTGTACCCTTTCTAAACGGTGGAACCACATTTGCATTCCTCCAGTCCTCTGGCATCTCGCCTGTGTCTAGTGAAGATTAGAAAATAATCCTCAGAGCATCTGCTATTTTCTCCTTGAATTCCTTCGACATCCCAGGGAATAATCTATCTGGCCCTGGTGACTTATCCACTTTCAGGGATTCCAGCTCCTCTAATATTTCCCCTCTCATTATGATTATTTTGTCCAATATTTCACACTTCCTCTTGGGTTACTATATCTATATCATCCCTTTCCTTTGTGAAATATGGAGACAAAGAATTCATTTAAAATTCTTCCCGTATCCTCTGCATCTTCACACAAGCTCCTTTAATCTCTGTTACGTCCCACCTTCTCCTTAACTGTGCCTTTGCTCTTTGTATACTGCTAAAGCATTTGGGTTTACCTTTATTTTGCTTGCAAATATTTTTTCATGCCCTCTCTTTGATTTCCTTATTTCTTATTTAATTTGATCCTTTTACTTTCCATACTCGTCTAGGCTATCTGCAGTGTTTTAAGACTATCATGAGCTTTCTATTTCTGTTTAATGTTCCCCTTTATTTTTCTTGACAGCCATGACACTCTAGATTTGCCAGTACCATTCTTATTTTTAGAGGGGGCAGGCTTGGTGCCCTAAGCATCTCAGTTTTTAGTGCCTTCCTCTGGTTTATCCTTTAGCCGTCCTATCCAGTCTACCTCCTCCAAATCACTTCGCGGTTTTGTAAATGTTGACTTCCCCCAGTTTAGAACTCCTCCTGATTTCTGTCTGTCCTTTTCCACAATAATACTAAATCTAATTGAATTGTGGTCACTATCCCTGATATGGTTGCCCACTGACACTTCCCTCACTTTTCCATCCTTATTTCCCAAAACTAAATCCAGAATTGCATCTCCTCTTGTTAGACTTGTCACGTATTGCTTAAATTTTCCCAGACACAGTACATGAATTTTACATCCTCACTGCCCCTTCATATTGTTTGAAACCCAGTTTATATTGGGATAATTAAAATCTCCTACTGTCATTGCCCTCTTATTCTTATAGGCAGAAACTTGTCTACATATATGTCCTTCTATCTCCCCCTCACTATTTGGTGGCCTGTGGTATTCTCCTAGTTGTGTGATTGTCCCTTTTTTTTTATTTCTAAGCTCCAACCATAAACCCTCATTTGTTAATCTGTTTAGTATAACATCTATTAATCTAATTGGTTGTTATAATGATCCAATAATTCATGGTCACCATAGTTATTACTAACTTTTTAATTTACATGGAAACTAGGAGTAAGCCATTTTGGCTCTTCAAACCTCCTCCATCATTCAACATGCTGATCTTCTATCTCAATACCATATTTCCACTCTCTACTCATACCCTTTGATGCCTTTTAAAATCTAAAAATAATCCATTTGTATGTATTCATGTACTTATTAACTGAATTGAAATTCCCAGTCATTGTGCTGATTTAAATTGACTTCTTCAGATCATTAATCCAAGTTTCTAGATTAACAGTCCAGTAAACTAACCATCATACTCCTGTTTCCTCAATTTATGAAATTGATGTGTAGAGAGTTGTCGGAATTGAGACCAAGTTTGCTCTGATAGGAGGGTGTTGCTTGATGCAGTGTTGGAGATACTGGAGGGATTCTGGGAAGAAAAGCATTCAACGTCAAACACTACCTATCTTCTGAAATCCTGCTCTGTGTTTATTGAAATGTTGCTTTTTAATTCAGTTTGCCAGAAGTCCCTTCATTGGTGGAAGTACCATGTTTATCAGCCCAGTTAGATGAAAACTTGCTCAGTTTTGTCAAGGACCAAATCTTCAGCCACGGAGCAATCGCATCTTGTCCTCCTGTTCAGATAGAAGAACTGACTGAAAGGCCTGGAGGGATTCTTGTGCAATGGTGCAAGGTGAGAACATGTCCAAAATAGAACTGAATGCAAATCCTGAGATGGAGCCATGTCTTCCTTTTTCCCCTTCTCCCTATGCCTGTGTCTCTTCCTCTTCCCAACCGCACCCCTCTCCACCGCCACCAACATCAACCCTGCCCATTACCAACATAAGTTAATGGAAGAAAATTAGTGTCGGAACTACTACGTTCACATGAAATGGGACTAAAACTTGAGGGTGTTTGAGAGCAAACCCAGAGACTGTTGAACTTATGAGAAAGGCTGCCACATAGAACAGAAGTGGGCCATATGGCTTCAGGAGCCTATCATTCATTAAATTAACTCATGACAGAATGGGCAGCAAGATCCTAGCAGTGGATTTACTATTTCATTCCTACCCTGTGACCATTATAATGCCTCTGTTTTCTCAGGCCATTGAGCCTGTCTCATGTAGCTGGCACCCTGGTGAATACTCATATCAGTCTCAATTGATTTCATTTGGACCTTGACTTTAACAGCACGTAGAGCAGAGTGAAATTGAATTCTCAGCATGTGTTCTCTTTCAGGTAAGTTATGGGACCCCAGCTTAATCTCTTCTCCTTCTGCTCCCTTTGTTTGATCACTGATCAGCCATGCTTCCTGAACATCTTGGGTTGAATGCTGACCAGCTGCCTGTGGACATTCCTTTTGGACAGGCAGCTGACTAGTACAACAGTGGTTTATTTGCCCAGACCTCTAATTCCCCTGAATTGTAGCATTCCATTTCCCCCAGATAGACTTTGTCCAGTCCCCAAGGGATACTGACAATCAAAGACAGTGGGAATATTTTACAAGGTTGTGCCCTGTCCTAAATACCATTCCCTTTGACCTGTACCCCCTTAATGTGAGCAAAAGTTCTTTTTTCCCTGTTTGCCCTCTCCCCACCCTCCCAAAAAATTGAGAATGTGTTATATTGCTCCCTGAAAGATGCTTGAGTGCTAGAACCATAGAAATGATAAGCACAGAAGGCGGTCATTCAGCCCATCTTGTCAATGCCGAACAAAAGACCCTCTGATGCCCTTCCTAATCCCATCTTCCTGCACATGCCCCATTGGCCTGCAGCTTACAGCATTTAAGGCACAGGTCCAGGTACTTTTTCAAAGAGTTTAGTGTCTCCACATCCATGACCAACTCGGGCAGCGAATTAAAAATGTTCTTCCTCAGGTCCCCTGTCATCCTTCTACAACTTAGTTTGAATTTGTGACCCCTGATTTTTGAATTCTCAGCTAAGTGACTCTTACAATTTTGTACACTTCAATCATGTTGCACATCAACCTTCTCTGTTCCAAGGAAAACAGCCCCAACCCCTCTCATCTCTCTTTGCAGCTGCTATTCTCCAGCCCTGGCAACATTCTGGTAAATCTTCTGTGCACTCTATCCAGAGCAATTACCCTCTTCCTGTCATGTGGTGACCAGCACTGTACACAATACTTCAGCTGTGGCCTCACCATGTCTTATACAGTTTCATAGTTATATCCCTACTTAGGTAATCTATACCTTTCCCAATGAAGAACAGCATTCCATATGCTGTCTTTACCATATCTACCTCTTCACTTATACAGATTTAAATGATTTGGTGAAGCTTTCATTTGATTCAAAATTGAGGAGATTTCATGGAGTAAAAATGAAACTGTTCCTCCTGGCAGAAGGGTCAGTAATCAGAGGCCACAGATTTTAGGTGATAAGCTAGATGATCTTGACAGAGTAAGTTGAGAGATCTGAAATGTGTTGTCTAAAAGCGTGTGTAAACAGATTCAGTAATTTTCTAAAGAATTTCAGTTGTTCTTGGGAAGCAAAATGTTTTCAGGGCTACAGGGTGACATCAAAGGAGAGAGATGAATTAAATGTCTTCATAGCAGGTTTGATACAGACATGATGTGTGCAAGTGACCAGAGAGAGGAGAGCAGCTGTATTGGTTACAAATAGATACATAAAATAGCTAGATAAAAATTAGATATACAAACAGAACATGCTGGAAACACTTGCTGCATTGGTTAGTTCAGTTTTACTTCCTGTTTTTGTCTTTAAAATTGTACAGATTTGATCTACTCAGGTTTAAATGCAACTGAATCTCAAAGTGTTAACAACATTCAGTTTTCCAGTTTCACTTCATTCACAGAAGTTTTGCACTTCACAATGCAAACTTAGGAGAGGGTCAGTGAGGTCTGGGGGTGATGACAAAGTGGGACCTGAACTTGGGTGGCGGTGCTCTTCCTGTTCTCTGTGGCTCACTGTCATGCCAGAAGGTGCTGTTACTCACTGACAGGGCTTTGACTTTGTAAATGATGTAGATTGAAGCTAATGGATGTCTTCTGCTTTACATTTAGGATGACGATGACTTTGTGGCACAGGAGTATCGACTGCAGTTCTGCAAAAGCTCTGCCTGCCAATTTGATGATGTCTATATTGGACCCGACACCGAATTTGTAGTTTTGCACATTGACCCAAATGTTAACTACACGTTCCGTGTTTGTGCACGGGGAGAAGGGCGTACGGAATGGAGTCCTTGGAGTATTCCACAGAGTGGGTACACCACTCTGACTGCACATGGTCAGTTAGTCCATTAATGTCAAAGCTGTCTAGATTTCACAGTATGATCCTCCCCATCCCCAGAGATACTTGCTGCCTTGCTTTCTGGTCCTGTGGGGTTTGCTTTCTTTCTTGATCTCAGTTACCCCACCCCCCCATATACTCTCAAGGACCGCAAAAGCTGGTTACGTTAGTCTGTCACTCAGGAAAGATGGTATTAATCTAAGATCTTCCTGTAATGGTTAGTAGGTAGAGTTACACTCGGGGTAACTAAGGGCGAGCTCTTATCTAAGGGAGCTGACTGAAAATTAAATAGACAGGATTGTACATTCATCATTATTAAATCTTGTCGATAGAGTGGATCACTGGTTGCGAAGGGTTTAGTCTCAGCAGTCGTAGAGACATGGCACTTCGGAATGATTCTCCTTCATCTGGTGTGTTGTACTCCAAGGAGCCCACTTACACTAGCGGACAGACTCTGACATTTCGGTAAGTACTTTACTGCCACCATTCTGTATTTTTAAAAACATTTAGTACATTCACTAAGTGTAACAGACTCCAGTGTTGAAGTGACACTCTGGCTTAGAAGACAAGTAGTGTTTGGGTCGAGAGTGATCCAAGTGTTAAAGAAACTGCCTGGGGAGACTGGCAGCAAAATGGTCCCCAATTTATGACTTATGAATGTTTCTATTTATGAATGCAATCCCATACAGGGAATATATTGATATTAATTTTAAAGAACTGACATGCAAATGTTTCCTCAAACTTCCCAACCATGAGTTAATAAAGAGCATTACAGATGATGCATTCATTTTGAATTTAAATTCTGCTCCAATGTACAAAGTAAATCAACTAATTTGCTCACAGCAGCTTCCCTTGGAGCAATGACTTTACTGTTTACCTGTAACTTTAAAGTGCAGAAACTGTTGCTTTAACACTCCCTGCTCAATACTTTGTGCGATTGAGAGTTAGGCACAGCTCATTGCAATCCATGCACTCTGGTGCTCAGCTCGATTTTTAATAACATGATATCTGAGACTTGCTGTCATTTATAAACATAGAACTGTACAGCATAGGCATGGGCCTGTCAACCCACCACGTTATGCCGAACATGATGCCAAATTAAATTAATCCCTTCTGCCTGCCCTTGGTCCATATCCCTCCATTCCTTGCATATTCATGTGCTTATCTAAATGTCTCTTAAATGCCCCAATTGTATCTGCCTCCACCACCACCTGTAGAAGCGCATTCCACACGCTTACCACACTCTGTGTAAAAACAAAACTTGCCCCTCACATCTTCTTTGAACTTCCCCTTTCACCTTAAATGCATGCCCCCTAGTTTCAGACATTTCAACTGTAGGAAAAAGATTCTGACTGTCAACCCTATCTATGCATCTCATAATTTTATAGACTTCTATCAAATCTCCCCTCAGCCTCCGCCACTCCAGAGAAAACAACCTGAGTTTTTCTAGCCTCTCCTTTATAGTTCATACCCTCTAAGTCAGAAGTCACAACACCAGGTTATAGTCCAACAGGTTTATTGAAATCACAAGCTTCCATAGCGCTTCTCCTTCATCAGGCGAAGTGAAGGGAAGCACACAGGCACAGAATTTGTAGGTGGAGAGATCAATGCAAGATAATTCTAGGTAATTAAGAGTGTCAAAAGATAGTACAAATGGTGTGAGTGGAGTGTTGACATGCTGAATAATAAGTCTTTGCAGGTGATCAAAAGTGTCAAATGGTTTAAGTGTCAATAGCTGAAGAGCAAGTGAAGGAATGACCTATATTCCGATTAATTAAGGAATGGAGATGATTACAAAAAGATCAAAAATAAAATGATGCTAGAGACAAGGCAAATGGCTGGAATAACATGATAGGTATGAGTCACATGCTGAACCAAAGTAACAGGTAATCAAAAACTGTACAAACTAATTATGGTAGAGAGATCGTAAGTTATCAAGGTGATGGTGTCAAAACAGAACAGTAAGGAAGATTTTACAAACACAGAACAGTATGGCAGGATTACATGTAGCGCGACATGAACCTAGGATCATGGTTGAGGCTGTCTTCATATGTATGGAATTTGGCTATCAGTTTCTGCTTGGCGATTCTGCATTGTTGTGTATCTCAAAGGCTCCCTTGGAGGACGTTTACCCGAAGATCAGAGGGTGGATGTCCTTGACCACTGAAGTGTTCCCCAACTGGGAGGGAACATTCCTGCCTGACAATTGTTGCATGGTGTCCATTCATTTGTTGTCGTAGCGTCTGCGTGGTCTCACCAATATACCATGCCTTGGGGCATCCTTTCCTGCAGCGTATGAGGTAAACAACATTGACCGAATCACAATGAGTACCTGCTGTGAACATGGTGGGTGGTGTTCCCATGTGTGATGGTAGTGTCCATGTTGATGATCTGGCATGTCTTGCAGAGGTTGCCGTGGCAGGCTTGTGTTGTATTGTGGTCGCTGTTCTTCTGAAGGCTGGTTAGTTTGCTGCAAATGATGATCTGTTTGCGGTTTGGCAGTTGTTTGAAGGTGAGAAGTGGAGGTTTAGGGATGGCCCTAGTGAGATGTTTGTCATCATGGATGGCATGAAAGATTGTGACTTCAAATAAATCTGTTGGACTATAAGCTGTATCATAGAACATAGAACATTACAGCGCTGTACAGGCCCTTCAGCTCTCGATGTTGTGCCGACCTGTGAAACCAATCTGAAGCCCATCTAACCTAAACTATTCC